CTGCGGCTGCGGTGCTTATTAAGCATCTTTGGAATTATTGTTTGGGCTTGGTTCATAAAGCGATCCAGTTTATGGAGTTCATAAAGTAGGCAGGTGCAGATCACAATATTTTGGTATGTGGTTTATTCCCAAGAAAAGAAGTTTGGATTTAAGTTTATTATAGGCTTGTTCATTCGTTGTTGTGTTTTTCTAGCACGATCTGGCAACACTAATGAGTCAGTTCAAATTGTCCATTTCAGTGACCCGATTCAAAACTCAAAAATCATTGCATCATAACTGAAAAATGTGCAGAATCCCTATGTGCCTACGTTTGATCTAATTGAATATCTTGATTCACTAGTTAAAGGGATAGTCCACCCAAAAATGAACATTCTGTCATTAATTACTCACCCTCATGTCGTTCCAAACCTGTAAGACCTTCGTTCATCTACGGAACACAAATTAAGATATTTTTGATGAATTCCGAGAGCTCTCTGACCCTCCCATAGACAGCAAGGATCCTAACACGATCAAGGCTCAGAAACGTAACAAGGACATCGTTAAAATAATCCATGTGACATCAGGGGTTCAACCGTAATTTTACGAAGCTACGAGAATACTTTTTGTGCGCAAAGAAAACAAAAATAACGACTTTATTCAACGATTCGTCTCCTCCGTGTCACCCTATAGCACCATTTTAGAGAGTATCACATACGTAAACAACGTATGCAACATATGTACGTGGATACGTTGTTTACACTTTGATCTGAACGTAAACAACGTATCCGCATACATACATTGCATACATTGTTTATGTATGTGATACTGTCCAAAAAGGTGCCAGGGTGACACAGAGGAGACGAATTGTTGAATAAAGTCGTTATTTTTGTTTTCTTTGTGCACAAAAAGTATTCCTGTAACTTCGTAAAAATAACGGTTGAACCACTGATGTCACATGGATTTTTTTAACGATCTCCTTGCTACGTTTCTGAGCCTTGATCGTGTTAGGATCCTTGCTGTCTATGGGGGGGTCAGAGAGCTCTTGGAATTCAAAAATATCTTAATTTTTGTTCCGTAGATCAGCGGTTCTCAATTCCAGTCCTCGCGTACCCCCGCTCTGCATGTTTTGCATGTCTCTCTTTGTTAACACACCTGATTCAGATCATCATCTCGTTAGAAGTGACCTCCGTGCATGAACTGTGTTCCAATTGACATGGTCCCTACACAGTGTCCATTGCTCCCTACTCCCTGAGCAGGGGAAATCCGTTGAAGTTTACTTCACTTCGGAATATTCATTTACAGATTTGCGCTGCTCCGCTGCCTGCAGCGTCTTCACACACAAACGAAACTTACTAGAGAAGTGTGAAGTGGGACATAATATACCTCTGTAAATAAATACAATTTAAATTCACGTCTCGCACACTTAAATGCCCTTTGTCTGGAACATATACGCTCCCTTCAAACTGGAATCATGGCGGAATATCCGGTAATGTCCACTTCGCAGGGCACTTACAGTCAAATATAACAAATGTCTGAAGCAATAAGAGAAACATACAAAATGTGCAGAGCGGGGTACGCGAGGACTGGAATTGAGAACCGCTGCCGTAGATGAACGAAGGTCTTACAGGTTTGGAACGACATGAGGATGAGTAATTAATAACAGACTTTTCATTTTTGGGTGAACTATACCTTTAAATAGGTTGCTTCCTGTGCATACTGTCCTGTTATAAAATGATAATTCACTTTAGCAATCATACCATAATTGAAAGTCTTTGTTTTGTTAATGTCATTTAATATCATATTTTATTTGGGAATGTGAGCTATTGATACTGCATCACGCTGCAAGAAAAAAAATCCATAGACAATTCCAGGACATTATCCGTTACGTTTCCTGACCTTTAACCCTAAAACACCACTCATTGCAGCATGTAATTCAAAATACTGGTTAAACACCTGCAAAATATCAATACACAAACTTGCTTCATATTAACAGTGTATTATGGCCTATTTTTACAGACTTTTCTTAGAGTGCACCTATACCATTTTGAGTGATCAAGTCTTACCTGTCTTCTGTTCCCTTGTCCCCTTGTCTTATTTACACCTCTCATTATTGTTGGTTGATGGCTGCCCATGTCTATGTGGCAATGATATATTCTCAATGTAATGTCTTCATCAAGTATGTAAAGTAGAATGATTTGTTGTTAATCCCTCTTTCACCGTCAGACAGAAGGAACAGTTGAGGCCATATTTCTTTAGACAATTGCACGATCGGGGGATAAGAAAACAGCAAATGAAATGAGTTTATAACCCCATAAGTGTTCTATTAGTTTCAATCTCATGTTCCCCTTGGAATTCATATGCCTACAAATGATCACGCAAATTTGCTGTTGCCATTATGAGTTTCATTTGAACAGTTATTAGCAGTGATGACTCAAGAGTCTTATTAGCTGACCACAGTCAAACACGATACACATGAGGTGTATTTGGTCTTTTTCAAGATGACTAGTTCACTGATTCTTGAGTACTGGGACAAGAAGTGAAATAAAGTGCATTATTTTTACAAAAATTAGCATACATTTCTTACAAAATATGTGTTTTTCCAATCAAATTGTGTCAGCACCATCTGATATAAAGAAAAAAAGCCAAAATACTGTTAAATTTAGCATTCACTTTAATAAATTAATTTAAAAGTGTTAATGAAAAACATATTTCCTTAAACACACGTTAGTAGTTGTTTTACTGGTGATGTTAGCTAACTTGGCAGTTAAAATTTGGATAATTGTCAAAAAATCTCAAACAACTGATTTACATCACATTTTGAGTTGATATTGCTATTAAAACACTTTAATAAGTAAAGACAAAAAGTAAGGACATATTTACAGTATGCTTGCCGCGATAGATGGTGCTGACGGTGATACCAGTGTTAAGTCGCAACACCGGTTACGTCACTTGCCCACCGCGTCACCGACCCCCACCGTTGTTTTGATTTTTTATAGTAATAAAAATCATTTAGTTCAGTAAAAGAACAGACACTTGCTGCTATTTGAAAGTGAAAGTAAAATGCGCATGCCGCTTTCACAAACTATTTAAAAGCGAAGGAAAAGAGGGAACGCCCCCGCCCCCGAGGTGATACCGGTATTACCGTTGTTGTCACACGTCGATTAACCGGTGGGAAAATGTCTTCACCGTCACAACCCTAATTTACAGTACATTTGTGCCACAATTTTTACACTTTTTAGTTTAATCAACCTACAAATTGCTTACTAAATAGTGGTCTTAGTTATCTTTGAATATAACTATAGTTATGCATATATAGTTAGTGATAATATAATATAATTTGATATAAATTAACATGTTAATATTTTAGTGATCATCTCCCAAGTATTGGTGGACAGAATCGTGGTACTTGTTTTGTCTAATATCTCAAGAATCATTGAGTTATATTTAGTGAGAGGTCAGTTTTTTATACAAAAACACCATTGTTTGTAGCGCTGGTGCCCACATGGATGACGAATCCATGTCATTAATATCATTAGTCCAGGCAGATCCACAGATCTTGAGGTCTTATCATCCGCCCATGGGACATTAGTACCCAGCAGGAGTGTGTGAGTGGTAGTAACGCAGTGTATCTGAGCAGTCATCTGTCCACCCCATGTCCTCCTCGGGCTCCAGCACTCGTGCACTCTTGCACAGATGGTCCATTCTTGCCATCATCTCTGCCACACTGCCATTTCTAATCAAAGGAGAAAAAAGATCCAATATTTTCAAATCTGCAGATCTGCTTGTGCAGTGATTGAATAATCAGATATACCCAGTGCATGATTACAAATAGATTTGTGGAAGGGAACTTGGAATCCAGTGGCACTAGCAAGTCCATCTGACAAGCATTGTCCAATAAAATGTGATGTTGTCAATGAAAATGAGTCATCACGTAGAGCCCAGATGCACTCCATATGAAGGAATTCATCCATTGGCGTGGTGAGGTATTGATTGCATTCACAAACCCAGGTATGGGGAATTCTCTCTGATTATTTCAGAGGTTGACACTTTTCTGTGAGTAATCTCACACGCTGTGCTGTTGAATGGAGGTGTCTGGGATTTCAAGAAAAAAAAGAGATCTGTGAGATTTCAGTTCTTTCGGAGGAATCCAGTGGTTTTGGTTTTTCGAAAACTTCTTGATCTGTTTTTGTTTTATAAACAGGGTGGGCGATCTGATGATTTTGTATCGTGATTGATCTCGAAGAAGCCCACAATCTGCTTTTCAAGTGTATCTCAGAGATCATGACCAAATGTATCCTATTTTTGTCTGTATGTAAATCTATCCATGTATTTTTCATTTGGCAGGAAGCTATTAACATGTTAGAGCAATGGACAAATGAGTAAGTAAAGAGTGTGATATTAAAAGAGTGTTGATATTAAAAGCACAATAAGGCAAAGCATCTGAATGCCGCGAAGGTCAAATACAAACAAAACTGTGTCAAAATGCCCACTGTGGTGGGTATTCACATAAACACAGTCAGTTATGTCTTAGATGAATGAAAATCGTTTGGAGAAAATAGGATATGTGTGAGTATATTCGGTCTTAAAGTGACAGCAGCCTAATATACCTGCTGCTTCTGTGTCATAAATAGTAATCAAACCACAGCAGAAATGGAGAAAATTACCCACTGCTTTTGACCAAATAATTGTTGTAGCTTTAATAAAAAAGAATGTATATTTAATTCATACAGTGTTGTATTTTACATTTAATTACTTTATTCAATTTCCATTGTATTTCTTACCTGAATATTATTAGACAGACCTGCCTGAAAAATTTAAAGCACTTCATTTGTGTCTTTGTTCTGTTTTATTTTTTTGTTATATTGCTTGTCATTTGTTTCTTTCTGATTGTTTACATGTCTTGAATAAGCTTGAGAACTCTGTTTACTTCTATAAGTTGCAGGGCCTAATTTTTATTGCTCATTAACTTTCAAAACCAACATGAAAAAGTTTTTTTTTTCATTTACCCTTGTCATCCATAGGTCTAAAGAACTAATCAAAGAAGCCATTCTTGACAATGACTTCATGAAGAACCTGGAGCTGTCTCAGATTCAGGAGATTGTGGACTGCATGTACCCTGTGGAGTATGATAAAGAAAGTTGTATCATCAAAGAAGGCGATGTGGGCTCCCTGGTCTATGTCATGGAAGGTAGGCCATGTCAAAGTATTCTTGCTGTTTACTCTACTGTGTTTTACAACTGTAACAGATGATATACAGACAGGCCAGTAAACCACAAGAGGCTTTGCATTACAGTGATTTTACCTCGGATAAGGAGTATTCTTTGGCAAAACCTGGTGTATTGCTTAACTTTGGATACTGAATTTTTTTTTTCCACGTTTTCAACGTTTTGTAAAATGGAAAGGTTTTGTGGATGTGTAAGGTTCTTCATGGAACCATCAATGCCAATAAAGAACCTTTACTTTTAAGAATGTATGAGATCAGCCAGTTGGTAACAAGGTCTGAAGTTCTGAAAAACCTTCTGATCCTAAAATCCTAAAATTTCTAGATGATTTAGCAGTTTATAGCTACAGTTTTGCACTTTTTTGGTTTCTGCTCTGTGTAGATTAATTACCACTTGGATGTACATGTCCCCCTCATTATGTAAATACAATTTTATGTTCATAAAATTTGTAATACTTCTCACAGGCCTACTCCGTTTTTTCTTCTTTTTTTACAATTTGTTAAATTAATGAAATGCTCCATGTAGTAACTCACAAATCACTTTATTTTCTTTAGAAAGCAGCAGTGGAAACCCCGGCACAGGTTCACACACCAAACAAGAGTCTGTTTAGTAATACATTTTGGTTGTCACTCTAGTTTACAACCAAACAACATGAGAACAGAACCACATTTAGCCCTCTAAAATAGGGCTGGTGCTGTTTGAACACTGGCTTAGAACTGAACTTGAGGAGCAATAACCGTAGCCTTATTTAATGCACTTCCAACTTAGCTTTTCATCTCCAGGTGGCTGGTTTGAATGGCGAGTTTTATGGTCACCTTGGATCTTTTCACAGACATAACATAGATTTCTTTTTTCTTTTATCATGTTATATTTCCTTGTGGTCTGTCGCAGGTTTTGCTGCAGTGCTGTACGAGTTCTTTCTAATGCCGTTTGTGACATAAAATCTCCTCTGTTTTGTTGACCATAAATGAAAGTCCTTTTAGATGTATTCACATCTTATTTAAGCCATCAGCCTTCCATGTATTTGGTTTTAGACGCCAAAGGGTTTTTATGAATGCATAGCCCCCTTGGTGCTACAGCGGTCTCTGGAAGCATTTAAAAGTTCACTTATATAGCCTGTCTGAAAAATAGTCTGAAGTTGATTGTGAACCTTGCAAAACAATTGAATTGGTCTCCAGTTGCACTTCAAAAATATATACTGCTAAAAAGATGGTTTTTAGTCTTAAAGGAACACTCCACTATTTTTGAAAATAGGCTCATTTTCCAACTCCCCTAGAGTTAAACAGTTGAGTTTTACCGTTTTCGAATCCATTCAGCCGATCTCCGGGTCTGGCGGTAGCACTTTTAGCTTTTTTTAACTTTTTTAATTATACTTTAATCTTTTCTGCCGTACCATGATGCAATGATATTACGCAGCGCCTGAAAATAGGCTTATTGGAAGTTACCTAGCTGGGACTATTTTCAGGCGCTGCGTAATATCATTGCGCCTGCTGCACCCATGGTACGGCAGCAAAGTTGCTTGATTATTACAATGAGAGTATAGTTCCTAGCCATATCGGCCTAGAAAATCGCAACTTTTCATTTTCCATCGGTCTTAGTACACGATGTAACTACAGAAGAGTCAAGTTTTAAATAGGAAAAATATAGAAACTCTTTGGTCATTTTTGAGCGAGATGCTAACGGTCTAATCAGATTCAATGATCTATGCTAAGCTAAGCTAAAAGTGCTACCGCCAGACCCGGAGATCGGCTGAATGGATTCGAAAAAGGTAAAACTCAACTGTTTAACTCTAGGGGAGTTGAAAAATGAGCCTATTTTGAAAAATAGTGGAGTGTTCCTTTAAAGATGTCTCCTGAGCTGATTTCAGAGTGTCTGCACTTTCACTCTTAAAAATAAAGTTTCCAAAAGGGGGTTTATACAGCAATGCCATAGAAGAACCATTTTGGGTTGCCAAAGAACCTTTCGGTCAACAGTTATTTAAGATATTTTTATGTGGTTAAATAACATTTTAAAAATCTAACAAACCTTTTTTCTACAATAAAGAACATTTTGTGGAATGGAAAGTTTTCATGGATTTTAAAGGTTCTTCATGGAACCATAGATGCCAATAAAAAAACCTTTATTTTCAAGACAAATCAAACTACTTTTAGAAGTGTTACCAACCAAAGCACAGAATTGAAGCACAGAGTTTGCTTTAATACTAGGACCACTGGATATGTAGCACGGTTGCTTCCAAAATGTTTCAGTTACATTTAAAATTCATCAAGTTTTTGGTATTTACAAAAAAAAAGTGCTTGAGTGGAAATATTCCGTGAACAGCTATGAATAGGCATTCAAGTGAGGCAGATGTACCATTCTGTTAAGTAGAGCCACTAACTGTGGGTTTTTTTCACAGCACTGCACCCATAAACCATTTTTGCCTCTCCAAACTAACCCCTGCCAGTCACCACAGGAAGCATGCTCTTTACCGCCAAACCTTTCAGTCTGCTTCCAATAATGTACACTCGATAGGCGGCTCACCTCCTCTTGGTGTATTGTTGTAGCTGTAGAATATGTCTCGGTAGTCGCCTCTGGCGACAGAGATGCTAATTTCCTCTAATTTATTGCCTTGCCCTTGCATGTGTCCGCCCTCTCATTTGATTCCAAACCCCCTAAGACTGACTGTGGTCCTCTTTACGAATGTATTTAGTAAGCATTTTTGGCAATAATGTGTATGCCTTTATATGAACTTAGATGAACTGAAAGTGAGTGAATGTGTAATTTTGTGTCAATATAGTTCACCCAAAAATTAAAATTTGCTGAAAATTAACTCGCCTTCAGACCATCCAAAATGTAGATGAATCAGAACAGATTTGGAGAAATTTAGCGTTACATCACTTGCTCACCAATGGATCAATGCAGTGAATGGGTGCCGTCAGAATGAGAGTCCAAGGCTGGTGTTTTGGCTTGAAGTAATGGTCTTAATTTAAAATGCCTTGATAAATGAGTTTCTTACAAACGCACAGCTTTTCGCTTCACATGACGTAACTGATGGACTGGAATCATGTGGATTACTTGTGGATTATTGTGATGTTTTAACAGCTGTTTGGACTCTCATTCTGATGGCACCCATTCACTGCAGAAAATCCATTGGTGAGCAAGTGATGTAATGCTGAATTTCTCCAAATCTGATTTAATGAAAATACAAACTCATCTACATCTTGGATGGCCTGAGAATGAGTACATTTTCATCAAAGTATCTATTCATTTAATATGCTCAATTATAAGCATGCTCTTTGTAAGTTGATTTCCCCAAAAAGTGTAACTCTGTCTCTTTAGTACTTTCAAAACTGCTTTGTTTGTTTGAACATCCTGACCAGCCTGGCAACAGTGACTTATTAACCAATGGCGTGAGTGTGGGTGGAACTGTCTGTCCAATAACAGGTGGGTAATGTTGAATTTCTCCAAATCTGATTTAATGAAAATACAAACTCATCTACATCTTGGATGGCCTGAGAATGAGTACATTTTCATCAAAGTATCTATTCATTTAATATGCTCAATTATAAGCATGCTCTTTGTAAGTTGATTTCCCCAAAAAGTGTAACTCTGTCTCTTTAGTACTTTCAAAACTGCTTTGTTTGTTTGAACATCCTGACCAGCCTGGCAACAGTGACTTATTAACCAATGGCGTGAGTGTGGGTGGAACTGTCTGTCCAATAACAGGTGGGGAGAGTGTTTGTGAAACCTGTTTATAAACAAGAATGACAGAAAAGCAGTTCACCTTTAGCTGGCCTATACAGTAAGTTCGAATAGCTCAAAAAAGTAGTGCTGAATGGCTAAAAAATACAATGGATATTCAATTCACACTGTCTTAGTGTCTTCCATCTCTTAATGTTAATTATTATGCTGAATTAACTTCAAACAGACCCTTTGGTGCACAACTGTCTGAATTTAAAGCAATTAAGTGTTTGAAGCAACAGGTCACCCGATTTTCTGGCAGGCAAGTGAAGGAATTAAAGGTTAGGAACATATTAATGTGACAGCTGTTAATGAAAAACGCTTATACAGATTCCTTGTGCTCAGCTTCACATATAAGATATAGGAGCAGAATTTAGCTCTAATGTCTGACAGAAGGATTTGGTTTTGTCTAATCAGTTCTTTACTCATTAATTTGGGGGCTTTATGTTGGTGATATCAATTTTGTGATACTCTATACAGTACTGTATGTGTGTCAAATCTCTTATCTCTTTGTATTGTAGTGTTCTGTTTTAGTGGTGAAGCAATAGGGAGTATTAATGAAGGCCACAGCTTGTGGGAAAAAGCTGTTTTTGTTTCTGGAAGTTTGTTTTTGTGGTTCTGCGGCGCTTCACAGAAGGCACCAGAGCGTGAAGGCTTTCTGACTGCCCCCTTCCTGGATGTTGACTCATAAAGGACCTGGAGGGAGGGCAGATTGCAGCTGATGATCTTCAGTCTGCTTGGATCCAGTGCCATGGCGGATCCAGATCAGATGGTTTTGAGGACGGATTTAGTGATGCCATTGTAGAACTGGGCCATCACTGCCAGTGGCAAGTTGAAGTTCTTGAAAGTTCTCAGGAGTTACTTGATCTTTAGTAGGCATGTGCATATCGAATAGTTTGTGGGTGTCGACTAGTATTTTACTACTACTACTTTACAGTTGATTGACAAAAATTATATTTTTTTTGTTTCCATTCATCACTGTAGAAGTTTGCCAATTAGATTTAATTAATTTAAAAGATTTAATTTCATTTCATTTTTTTCTTATATTAATACAGCAAATAAAAAAAACTTAGGTATTGTTATCAGCCAAATCTCTACTGTCTTTAGGACATTCAGTTGTAAGTTCTAACTGCACCAAGACACCAGGTATTTTACTTCCTTCCTATAAATGGGTCCATTGTTGCATATTAGGCCAATCAGCGTCATGATATCTGCAAATTTAAGAGGATTTCTTCAAGGTACAGTC